TGGCTGTGTGTGTTGTGTTGCGTATGTGTTAGAGCATTGTGCGGCTAAGGGACAGTGTGTGTGTCTGGGTAACCGTGCGTCTCTGTGGGAAGGTGTTGTGAAGCTGTACGGCGGGGTTGTGTGTCCCCGAGGGCCGTGATGTCCCTGGGTGACCCGTGGGGTGTCCCCATGTGAATGTGTGGCGGCCTGGGGGTTGCTGGTGAGTGGAGAACTGTGTCGTATGCCTGCGTCCCGGGGGACAGTTGGGTGTCGCTGTGTGCGTGTGATCAGCACAGAGTGACTATTCCTGGGGATGGGTCTACACTCTTCCTTGCCCTCCCCCCCCAGGTTCCTTTTTTCCTGTAACCGGGGTTGCTGAGTGAGGAACGGGTGTTTCCTCTACCATGCCAAAATTCTGTCCCCTCATCTCACCACCACCCCACACCGTTCCCTCCACTTCCCTCCGACTCGGGGTACCCCATCCGCGGGGCCCCAGGTGGTCCTGGCTTGAAGATCGGGCGCGAGGTGGCGCCGGGACACGGTCGCACGGTGGCGGCGCCTTCTCCCGCCAGGGGCTGCGCGTGCGCGGGGACCTGCCCCAGAGGGAGGCGGGGCGGTGGGGGGGTGTCCCCCCGACTCCGCGGCGGAGGAGGTCCCGAGGGATGGCTGGTTACAGAAGAGCACGGGCCAGCTCCGGCCCAGGAGGGTGGCCGCGGAAACCCCCCTCACTCCCTATGCTGGGAGCCCCCCCCCCAGTCCTGCCTCCCTGCACTTGCCCCCTACGAGGCCAGACGGGGCGGGCACAAAGTGTTGTTTTCTCCCCTGCAGGGGAATCCCCGCCGCACCCCCACCCCCACACCAGGGCACTTTATATAATTTTCTAAATATAAAAGCACCAAGGCCAGGCCGGAGTCTCTGCTTTTTGCTTTGTACCTGCATCCCATTGTGGTGGTGGGGGGGCGGTTTGGGAAAGGGAAAAGGGCGTCCTACATGGACACGGGGATGCTTTGGTCCCCATCCCTCAGGACCGCATTGTCTGCTAAACTTCCCGCCCCCTGCCAGTCCTCATCCTCCCCTGCACCGCCCCCCCCACAGCCCTACCCCACTCCTGCGTAGTGGGACTCCTGGGCTGCCCCTGGCTGCAGCAATCCCTTCCCCTTGCCGCCCAGCGCGGTGGCACACACGGGGAGCAGGAACATTCACAAGCACACACCCATGACACAGGTGTAGGTAACTCCACTGCACACAGAGGTCCACACACACAGCCACACGCAGCCGCCGGCAGACATGGCTGTGGCCAGGCACCTGCACTTGGGAGGCTGGAGAGACAAGCCACCCCGCCCCCCAGCCAGACCTGGAGAGCTCTGAGCCGGCTGGGGGGTGGTGTTTGGGAGGGGAAAGGGATGTGGTTATTTCATGGGTATGTGCCCCCTCTGCCCGTGCACCTGCATAGGGATACTGGGAGGGGTTCTGCTTGTGGGCGTGTGTGATCGTGAGTGTGTATGGTAGTGTTTGGGTTGAGTGTGTGATTGTGAAGGAGTGTCTGTGTGTTGTGGCCATGTTTGTGTGTACACTTGAGTGGGTCTGTGCATCCCCTGTGTGTGTCCATATCTGTGTGTATGCGTGTGCTTTGTGTGAGTCTGTGAGTCCCCGGGTGCCCTCTGTTGTGATGCCCGAGGCCAGGTGTGCGGAAGTCCATGTTTGTGGGTGGGCCTGTGCTCAGGGGAATCCCTATGTGTTTGTGTTGCTAGGTGTGTGACATGGGTATCTGTGTGGCACGGTGTGTATGCCTGAATGTCTCTTTGTGGCACGTTGTATGTGCTGTGTGCGTCTCTGCCAACCTTGGGTCCCATCCTCCCTTTCCTTACCAAGACCAAAGACCTTCACATCCCCTTCTAGAACCTCAGTGTCTCCTCCGTAGAATGGGAACACATAGGGGCGTGGTGATGCTGTGCCAAGCGTGCGTTCCCAAGGCCTGGCATGGCGCTGTGCCCTCTGTGCCCCAGGGGTGGTCGCCCTTGAGTTCCTAGGTGGACACCTAGGAGGTGGCCTTCCCCTGCCTCAGCTGCTCTGTGAATGCCAAGCACTTTTTTAAAAGTTTGTTTTTAATGACACAAACCATTTGTGAACATCTGAAGAGTATATACCAAACTACCCCCAGTGGAAGCCAACCCACTTCCTCACCCCTACCTGTGTGGGACCCCAGGGAGACACTGGGCCATGTCTGGGGATGTCGCTGGTGGTCAGGACTGGGGGTGCTCCAGGCAGGGATAGGGCTCAGCACCTCTCCCCCACAGAGTCCAGGATCCCTGGGCAGAGAATGGTCCAGAGCACCCTTAGGGGAGAAGCCCTGGTCTCCGGCTTGTTTCCCCCTGTGATATCTGCAGATGGGAACCTCTTATTCTTTTACGGAGCTGCGTAATAGTCCGGCCTGTTCCCACACTGGCGTTACTGACCTGGCCCCCTGCAGAGGGACGCCCTGGCTAGTTCCCAGGCTGTCACCAGTAGTGGTAGAGAGTGGTAGTCGACACGCTTGTGCGTCTGGGTCATGGACAGTTAGAGGAAAGGCAGAATGAATGATTAAGGAGAGTGCATTTTTAATTTTTTAGCCAATGAGCTCAACTGTGCTCCCAAGTGCCACTGCTAAATCACATGGCCCACTCCCCTTCCGGGCCCTCGCACAAACAAGGTCCACATTCACCAGTTGCTTTGTTAAGGTAACTGCCCGGTGCAAAGCCCTCTTCTGACCTCAGCCCAGTCTCCTCTGGGTCACCCATAATAACCCAAGGGGTGGGAACTCCCTTCACCCTTTTTCACCGAGGGGAAACTGAGGCACACAGGAGTGTAGTTGCCGCCGGAGGAGACGTAGACCAGGCTGCAAGCCTGCGCTAGAGCTGGCTGGCAGCTGTGGACCTACTGTGTGCACTGCAGGGCCCCTCCCACCCGAACTATGGAATATGCAGATTTGTAACAGTCTGCCGGCGTTCGGGAATTTGCAGAAAGTTCTCCTCTCTGCACTGTGCCCACAGCGTTCACACGAGTAACCTCAGGGTTCCCATCTCCAACCCTCCTCCATGCGTCCCAGCACTGTTGCCATTTTACAGATTCGGAGACTGAGGCTCCGAGACAGACGGGCAGTCTGTGCTCTCCGGACCTCACCTTGGAAAGGAGCTCAGGTGGCAGGCTGGGCGGGAATGAGGGGGCCGAGCTGGGAGAACCGTCTGCAGTCAAGTGTAACTTTTAAATGTCTGTGAATTTGGAATCTTGTGCTCTCTGTGTTCCTAGCCACTTTCAAATAATAAAATCCTGTTGTATGTTATGTTGGCATTTGGATTCCTAGACACCTGCTTTCCCCATTCATCCTGGGGTTTCAAATGCACCCCCCCCCCATCCGCCTGACAGCAGCCAGGGGTTTTCAAACCTTTGCGAAGCGCTCCTGATATGCTAAGCACTGATTGTTTGAATTCTAACAGTTTGTTTGAATAATAATGCAATGCGGAGTCGGAGTGGCCCAGGATATACGCCTTCCGCCTTCTGTAGGAACCCTGCTCCCTCCTAGTCTAGCCCTGGGACCCTGAGCCTGTTTCCTCCCCGCAACAGGGGAAAATAACGGGATTCCTGGCCCCTCCCATTACCCTGGGCATGGGGCAGTTGCCCCACGTTGGCAAGAGGGTTTCATTTGGCATCAGGACACTGGGAGAGACCAATGAAAATCACCAGGCTTTCTAAGAATGTCTTGCTGCTCATTTGACAGAAGGTCAAGGCTCTGCTAAGTGTCATTACCCTTATGCCCATGGACCCCATGGGCGGGCACTGTTAGTGCACGTTACCGGGGACAATACCAAGGGGCAGTCTGTGGGGTGGGAATGGGAGCTGTGGCAGTGGAGGCTGAGGATTCAGGGGTGAATGGGGAAGGCTTGAGGTCGTGGTCATCAGGAACCCTGGGGGCTTAGACTGGGAGAGGTCAGGTCTGCGCCCAGTTACTCTAGAGGGAGAACAATGGAGCTTTAGGAAGGTGGGTTCTGGGGCTCCAAGCCACTCCTGGTGCCTCAGTTTGCAGATCTGTGAGATGGGCACGCTCCTAGTCTCCATAGGAATTACTGGACGCCCAGGGAAGAGGCTGCGAAGGTTTACGTGGCCAGCCTGAGGTTCTGGACCTACCCTCCTGGGATGTTGGGGAGACTCATGGGGGATGCTAGAACACCCCTACCACACACACCCAGTTCCCATTTGGTGGTAACTGAAGAGGTGAGAGCAGATTCCTGGAGGCTCTGGGGTTAGTTGGGACCTTTGGGGCCGGTGGGGTGGGGGAGGAGTGCACTTGGAGCCAAGCTCCCTGCCCAGGGAACTGCAGCCCGTGTCTGGCTCTAAGGGGAGCAGAGGGAGAGGATGCTGTGGGGCCCCACCTCTCCTGCCCTGCACCCCGGGTCGTACATCTTTAAGGGGAAAGACGCGCGCTGGCGCTGGGCCTCTGCACACGTCACTTCTTCATTCTTTCCCTCCCCCCCCAACTTGGCTCTTTTCTCCAACTTCCCGGCCAGCGCGGGGAGGTTTGGGGGGGTCTTAAAAATCCACCTCCGGCCCCAAAGTGTCCAGCACCAGCCCAGCACCCCCTCCCCACTTGACTCGGGTGGGCGGTCCTGGGAGACCCGCGGCTACCGGGCTCTGCGCCGCCGGTTGGTCCCCGTCCGGTGCCCGGGACCGGGGCGGTTCGTAATTCGTAATAATAGCTATGATGGGGGTTCATGGGGCATGGGGGGGAGCGGCTTTCCTTCCCCGCTCGCGCTCTTTTTTCCCTCGTTTCTTTGAAAGTTGGATGTTGAGAAGTGGGAGGCTCGGCTGGGAGGGGAGGGAAATTGGGGGGAGGAAGGGGGGAGGCTGCCAGAGGGAGGAGAGACAGAGACACGGAGAGACAGAGACGGAGGAGGAGAGAGGGAGGGGGGACAGGAAAGGAAGAGAGAGGGAGAGAGAGCGAGCGCGGGAGGGAGGGAGGAGGGAGACCGAGGGAGGAGGCGGCGAGGAGCGCGCCGGCCGCGGCCGCGGGGGGGGGGGGGTTTGGAAAAATGACTCAGTAAGTTCAGCGCGCCCGCTCCGGCCGGCCCTGCGCCTCCCGCCGCGCCCGGGATGTATTCGTCCCCGCTCTGCCTGACCCAGGTACGCCCCTCGCCCGGCCCGCGCCCCCCGCCGCCCGGCCCCGTAGTCGCGAAACCGGAGGAGGCGGAACGGGAAAGGCGCGCGTCCCTCCCGCCGCCCCTCCAGGGGTGCCCCCGCCGCGGGCCAGGGGCCGGTGGGGGATGGGCTGGGCCGGGGACCCCTGCCCCGACCCACCCTCGGGACTCCCGCCCCGCCCCGGGCGCCCCGGCCTCTTCCCCACGCGAACGCGGGACTCGGGGAGCGGGCTGGCGGGACGCTAGCCCCCACCCCACCTGGGAAGGTCTGGGGGCGCTCCCCCCCACCCCATGGCCGGAGCCGGGCCTCTGCGTGACCCCCCGCCCGGACCCGGCCTGCCCCTAGGAGGAATCGAGGGGTCCCGATCCGACCCCTCGGCCCTGTTGAGGAGAGGATACCTCGGATGTGCTCCCCAGACAGCGCCCCCCGCCCCCCGCCAAGGTTGTGCCCCGCCACCCCAGCCCCGGGACGCCTTTCCCCCCATTACTGGCCCACGTGTGCTGGGGGGGGAGGGGGCGCGCGGAGTTGAAGGCGCCAGCAGCGGGGGGGGGGCGCGCTGACATCCCGGCCCGGCCCCCCCCGCCCCCCCCCCCCCCCCCCCACCGATCTGATATTTTCGCTGCATCGATTCTGGATTGTTGCGCCGCCGCCGCCGGGAGGAGCCGGGAGGCCAGGCGTTCCGGGGTCTGGTCCCGGCACTGCGGCGCTGCGGACGCCCTCGCCAGCCCGGCACCCGGCACCCGGCACCTGCCCCTGCCCCCCTCCCGTAGCCTCTCACCCCTGGCGGTGCTCCCAGACTGCCCCGGGCTGAGCCCTTGTGCAACGGCGAAGGGGGTGTGTGGGGAGGGGGCGGCTGCCCCTGTCCCAGGCCGCACCCCCGGGGACTCCTTTCCTCCTCCAGCTCCCTTTGGGACACCCCGCCCCTGGCTGGTCTCCTTCCAGCTCCCCCATATCCTTATGTGTCTTCAGGCCGATGGGGTTGCAGCCTCAGTTTCTCCTGAGGAATAAGGCAGGTTCTGGAGACGGGGCAGTGCGGCCTCCAGATTGCCAAGTGCAGGACTCTGGGAGGTGGGAGTCCATCCGGAGGCTGCCTGTCCCGTCTTCCTCCTCTCTCCCTTATGGGGAGCACGTGGATGCCTAGCTTGGGCCCCAGGGACTGCCCGTCTGTGTGGGAAAGGGTCTGCTATTCAGGGCTTGGGGGCCCCCTCCTTCGGGCTACAGCCTTTCTTGCCGCACTGGGGAGTTACCGGCTCCCCCCAGAAAAGGAGGGGGGGGGTCTCAGGGCTTGTCTTACCCATGATCCCCTGAGTGACCTTGGACAAGTCCATGCCCCTGTCCAGGTCTCAGTTTCCCCTTCTGAACAACTTTGGGGGGCCCCCGGAAGCTGTCCTTGCTGCCCCAACTCTGCCTCCCAGTTGTCCTGAGGCTCCCTGCAGGCAAGTAGGGTTCTAGGGAGGGTTGCCGTGTGACCTTGGGCCTCCCAGTCTTGCGGGGCAGCCTGGGTGGCTGTGGGTGCCCCCGCCCCCTCTGCCCTTCCTGGGCTTGCCAGCTCCAGAGAGCCACACAGGGGGGCTGAGCCAGGGAGGCTATTCCAGGGGAGGAGGTTGGAAGGCCGCCTTTTGTCACTGAGCCCTGGAATTCCCCCATCAGGACTCCTGGGGAGACAGGCCTCCATCCACGCTGAGGCTATGGCAGCGAGAACCTGAGCCCCGGTGTGAGCCTGTGTGCTCACGGGGTCGGGCTCGGCTCTCCCCAGGAGCAGGCTGATCCCCAGGACCAGCCTGGTGGACAGGACCGTGAACGCTATCTGAGGTTGTCCTGGGCCAGTGATGGGGACACGGGAGACAGAGATAGGCAGAGACAGCCCGAGAGCACCCCCCACCCCCGCTAGGGTGGGGACGGAGTGGCCCAAATGCAGGGGGCCGCCCTCCCTTGCTCCACTCCTGCGCCCCCCACCCAGGAGCAGAGCCCTGGGACTGCCCCCCCCCCCAGACAGAGCTCCTTGCAGACCCAGCCTGGTCTGGGGTCTCCGGCTGGGGGTCCCTCTGGGAGGACCCCGACTGCCCTCTTAGGACGTGCACTCCTGGCTGTCCGGGCCACCACCCCACGTCTCTCTGACCATCTCCATCTCCCTGGCCCGTCCCTCTGTTTCTCCTCCATCACTCTCGGTCTCTGTGGTCTGCGTCTCCCTGTCTCTGCCTCCGTGTCTCTCTCCGTGCCTCCGTCTGTCTCTGCGTCTCTCTCCCCCATTCCATCTCTCCCGCGTGTCTCCCCATCTCTGGGCCTCCGTCTCCCCCCTTTGCCCGACTAATTTTACAACCTGAGCCCATCCAAAAATAGCTCCCTTTTAGCTGATCCGACCGGGATCCTTGTTGGAGGGAGCCGCTGGAGAGCAGCAGGGGGGAGTGGTGCCCCGGTGCCCGCGCCCCGTGCCCCCAGCCCTGCCCGCTGAAGGGGGATTGGCGGTGGCGGCAGCCCTGGAGGATTCTGGGAGCCCCGTCCCTGTTTCAGTGGTGACTCAAGAGCTTTTTCACTTTTACTCTTAAGAGGAACTGTGTGGAGCAGCCGTTACTTCCATAAATCCTGGCGGCGGGAAGGCCGGCCTCCCCGCGCTGGCCCTACTCCGGGCCTCCCTCCCTGCCTCTCCCCGCCCACCCCCCCGGCCCGCCCGCCGCACCGCCACGTTAGTTATTCCGGGTTTGGGGCCAAATCCCTCTTGGCTGCAGTGCCCAGGATTCCCCGGGCTGAGGCCGGCCACACCAGCCCGCCAGGGCCCCTCCCTCATTCATTCATTCCTCCCTTCATTTCTGCCCTGGGATCCCTCTCAGCGTGGTACCCCTTTCACGGCCCTTTCTCCAGCGGGGAGATCGAGTCAGGAGGGCAGCCCTGACTTTTGGTAGGTTTAGTAGGTTTTTTTTTAAGTGCCTCTGTGGAGCCTAGGCCTGGCCTGAGCTTTGGGGGATGGGGGTCCCCCAGCATCTTGGGGCTAGGAGAGGAGCCAAGACCAGAGACGGCCAGGGCCTGCCCAGGGTGGCACAGCACTATGGCTGGCAACGCTGGGTTTGGGACCACTTCCCACTTGGCTTTTGAGGCCAGCCTGGACAGGTGGGCGTTCCCGGTGAACACCCCCCCCCCCCCCCACACACACACACACCCCGTCTGGTGGCCTCTGCTTGGCTCCTGCAGAAAGCACAGCCTCGCTCCAGGTCGCGCTCCCTCTCTCCGTCCCTGTGTCTGGGTCTCTCCCTCCTCCTCCCTGCTCTGCGGAGGTGCCTCGGTGAGCCAGGGCCAGGCGCCTTGTAAATCACGAAGCGGGATTCTGGCCGAGTCAGCATTCTCTCTCTCTCTCTCTCTCTCTCTCTCTCACTGTCTCCTTCCCTCCTCCTCTCCTTCTCTCACTCCCTCTGTCTCTGTCTCTCTTCCCCCAACCCCTCCTTTCTCTCCTCCTCCCTCTCTGTCCCTACCCCACCCCCAGCCTGAACCGTTCTCCCTCCCTGTTTCACACCAAAAGGATGGAAAACACTCACCGCATCTTGGGTCCTTCTGCCCCGCACGGCCCTCACACGCAAAGGCACGTGTTCCTGGCAACCCACACACGCGTGTGCTCCCTGCTCCCCTCGGTGGACCTCTAGTGCCACATGCGTGCTTACTGACCCATGGCCCTGCCCTGCCTCCGATGGGTCCTGACGGGGGGGGGGGTCGGGGGGGCACCAAGGCAGAGACTGAGGGCGTCTCGGATACGCATATGGGCCTTGCTCTAGAGGCTCAGGAACTAAGTTATTGGTTTTCCGGCTGCAAAGTGCGGGGCAGGGCCCCCCTTGTCCTCACTGTGAAATGAAGCCAATGGTAATCTTCAGTTGCCTGCCCCGCCGGACGGTTTGGGGAGGCAGGACCCCTGTGAGGTGCTCAGTGCAGGGCCTGGCACATAGTAGGTGCTTACTTATCTGTGGGAGGAAGAGTGAATGGACGGTTCTGCCAGCCGAGAGAAGGACCTCCTCGGAGCCTCAGTCTCTGCCCACGTGACCTGGGGAGGACAATCATGCCTTCCTCCAAGGCTTCACCCTCGGTATACAGTGGGTGCCAAATAAACGTGGCTATGATTATGGCGGTCGCTCAGCTAATGATTGGATGAAACATCCTGGAGGCATTTCCAACATACCCTCCTCTTTATTCGGTCACTGTCTGGGCTAGGTGACAGGAACAGCCATGAGCCCTGAGGGCTTTTGCTCGGGGCTCATGGCCCCTGCCCCTGCCCAGTCTTGTCCAGGGTCTTCCTGAGTGTAACCAAACCTGTGGGGGGGTGGTGGTGGCAGCATCCTCTGTCGTGTGGGGTGCTTGGAGGTGTCACTTAGGATGGGATTGCTCCCCCAGGGATCCAGACTGGGTGCTAGGGCACAGCAGTGAACCAGAAGGACCAAATCCCTGTCCTGGAGGGGCCACAGTCCAGAGGCCCGGCCAGGCTGCCACTTTGGCTAGGAGGAGATGGCCCATGACCTGGGACTGAGCAGGGGAAGGGAGTCACACGGGATTCGGAGACGCATATCTCTGGGGAGTCCCAGTGATGGGGCCAGACCACGGGCTTGAAGGGCTCAGGAATGGGGCTGAGGAGTCCAGAGGTCCACAGTCCTGGGGACGTGGGTTCAAGCCCCAGCTTGGCTCCTTCCTGGCTGCGTGACTTTGGGTGGGTGGTTTCAGTGCTCAGGGCCTCAGTTTCTCCCTCCAGAAAGCAGATGCAAGGCTAGTCCCTATTTTGCAGAGTTGATAGCTCAGTAAATGCTCAGCCTCTGAAAGGTATGACCCCACACCTTGTCTCTCTCTCCCTGGCCCTCTGGGTCAACCCCCGTCATCCTCTTGGGACATAAAGGCACCGAGAGGAAAGGCAGGAGATCCAGGGTTCAGACTCCCTGGTCAGTTTGGTGGGACGTTTTCACTCCCACCACTCCGTGTATGAAGATTCCTTTTTGGGGCCCACAAGACCCTTCATATCCAGCCCCCGGCACCTCCCCGCCCTCACCCCCTCCGCTCTACTTCTTGTTCACTCTGTTTCAGCACACCACCGTCTTCACCATTCTTGCAAAACATGGGGCACGGTGTTGCCTCAGGGCCTTGGTACATGCTGTTTTCACTATCTGGAAAGCTCCTACCCTGGCCCGTCATTTTTTAGGTCTTTGTTCAAGTGTCATCTCTTATGAAAGACCCTCATGGAGCACTGCCAGCTAAAAACACAACCCCAAGGCATTCCCTCACTCTCCCCAAACGCCTTTAGGTTTCTTCAAGGTGCTTTGTTCCAAGTGACGTTTTATTACGTATCTGTCTGCTTGTTTCACATCCTTCCCTGCCCCAGATCAGGATCCAGGTGAGGACTGAGCCCGGGTCACTGCTGGGTCCACAGCACCATGCATGAAGCCGTCACAGCAGGCACACTCAGTAAATGTTGAACAATCACACGCATCTCACCCTCGTTAGGTGGGTGTCGTGCCTACACTGTGATGCCCTGAGCTGGAGGGGAGGAATTGCTTGAGATTAGGTACACCAGCTCTGGTGCCAGATGGACCTGGGTTTGAATGTGAGCTCTGCTTTTGCCACTTCATCTGGCCTGAACCTAGTGGAAAAGACGTTGGAACCGGGGCTCTGAAGGATGCTTAGGAGTTTGGGATACGAATTTAGGAGGGGCTAAGATAGTTCTCAGTATCGTTTGGTGAGTCACTGAACAAATGAGGGAGACAGAATCCTTCCGGGAAAACTTGTGGTTTGTGAATAGGAGCTTCATGACCCAGCCCATCCAGCAAGGGCTCGGACCCAGGTGTTCACCACTTAGCTGCTGCTGCCCTTTTTGGCCAGGAAGTCCCAGGGAGACAAGTAGTGTTTTGGGGAAAGGCCTGGCCTTGCTCCCCCTCCCCGCAACATTGCCTCTCCGGTTGCCAGGAACCGGAAAAAAACCCTCAACACCCTGCAGCTGCCGTATCTCATTCTGCCCGTTGTACAGACTGAGAAACTGAGGCCCAGAGCAGAGCAGTGATTTGCTCCGGGGTCAGGCATGAGTGCTTTAGCCCTGGGCCTCAGGTTTGGAGGGTGGGAATGGGTGGCAGTAGAGCCTGACTCAGAACCCCAGCTTGTATGGTCCAGGCTATGTCTGGGGGAATCCCTGAGGGGAGCAGGAAAGACTACCTGAAGGAGAAGGAGACTGGAGACAGGGCTTTGAGGGATGCGTAGGAGTTCGGGAGGATTCTTGGCAGCTGGCTTGCCTTGACTGTCTCCTTTGCCTGGTCAGCCAATGAGGGCATTGGGAGGTGCCTGAGGAAAATGCCTTGGCCTTGGCAGGTCTTGTGGGACAAAGAGGGTAACAGACCTGCCTCTCACCTGGGCTGACCTCCCAGGGAGAATGAGGGAGGAGAGGGCAGCAGGTCCCTGACCCAGTTACAGACTGTTTGTCTTCCTTCCTCCCGGACCAGCTGGGGTCACTGGTGACGTGGGCTCCCGCCCCTGCCCACCTCCCTGGCACCTTTGCTGAGAGTGGACCCAGAGGGGTAGGGCCCAGAGAAGGGGCGGGGTTCAGAGAGAAAACGGTTCAAGCAGAGGAGGCTGGGGACCTGGCTGACCGTCCAGCTGCCCCTTCCCAGCCACCTCTTATCACTGTCCCAGTAAAGCACCGACCTTGGGCGGCAGCCGTGGCCCAGCGTCAACACCACTGCTTGGCCTCTAGCCGCCCTGGCATCCCTGCCATCAGGAGCAGCGACCTGGGTCTCTCTCATTTCCCCACCCCGAGCCCCTCCGGCCAGGCAGCCCGGGCTCTGGTCCCAGCTCTGCTGCCTAGCTCTGTGACCCTGGGCGAGTGCCTCCCCGTCTCTGGGGCCGGCAGGCCAGGTGGCATTCAGGCACCGGAAGGCCCTGTGGAGGTTGGACACGGACCAGCCTAAAATAGGCCCCTCCATTCTCCCTTGGCCTCGGCAGACCGGCCAGGGTAGGGGAGTGGACAGAGGAAGAGAGCCCTGAGGTCCAGTCCCCCGCCACAGCTGTTATGGTGACTCACACTTGGGGGACATTAGAGCGGGGAGCGGGGCTGGCTATACTGAGCCCCATCCCACCCCCCATCCCGCTCAGGGCAGGAGGCTATTTTCAGAGCCTCAGTAATAGGTGAAATCCGAGGTCATTCCCCTCCCTCCTCCCCCGGTACCCCATGGCCAGAGGTGCACAGAGCCCAGAGAGGGCACTGGGTGGGGGTTCCTGTGAGTGTCCAGCCTGGAGGTGGGACCAACCCCAGCCACATCCAACCAGAAGGCCGAGCATCTCCCCGAGACCCCAGGCTGTTCTGGAAGAGCAGCCAATGGTCTTCACGGCGCCCAGGGGCCTGGGCTCCGGTCCTCACACAGGCTCGGAGACCCCGTGGGACCCCCAGGTTGGGTCTCCGCCCCTCTCTGGGCCTTGGATACCATCACGCAATGGGGAGCGGAGCCCCGACCCTTCCCTGCTCCTGGCAGATTGTAAGCGACTGGAACAATTGTAACAATGTCAGGGATAGTACCAAGAGTCTAGTGCAGGCTTTCCAGAGCTGGGCAAGGACAGGGCTCATCTCCCAGGAAGAGACCGCAGCGCTCCCGTTCTGGAAGCCCGCACGAGCCCCAGGTTCTCTTTGTCCTCCCTTTTCCTGGAGGCTGAGAAACCAGGTCCCAGAAGATCTGCAGACTCAGTTCCTCTGGATGAAAAACGGAGAGTGAGACAGCCCTCCCACCCCCACAGGAGGGGACAGGGGTCTCCACGGCCCCATGTTGCTCTCAGAGGGGGCCTTTCTGCACGGCTGGTCTATAGAAATGACCCCCAGACCTCATTTTTGTTTTCTTTGTGCCTAGGGCCCACAGAGGCAGCCCTCAGACCGCTCCCCCCGGCCCAGTGTCAGCTTTCTTTGGTGTTGGGGACACTCTCTGAGCCTCATTTCTCCTGCCATCCAGCACCTGCTGTGTGCTTGGCCCAGCTCTCGACATTGGAGCTCATACTTTATTTTTATTTTATTTATTTATTTGTCAGAGAGAGAGTGCACGCATGTGCACAAGCAGGGGGAGGGGCGGAGGCAGGATGTGGGCTTGATGCCCTGGACCTGGGGGTCCAGGGGATCGTCACCTGAGCTGAAAGCCGATGCTCAACGACTGAGCCCCCCAGGCGCCCCTGGAGCTCATACTTTAGTGCACGAGCTTGCAAACTGCAGGCCTGGGGCCCAGTGTCTGCCACCTGTTTTTGTAAATAAAGTTTTATCAGAAAGCAGCCTCACCCATTATCTGTGTGTCCTATTTAGGGCTAATTCCGCGCTGAGCTGAGTAGTTGCAGCAGAATGAAATACTCACTATTGTTCTTTAAGGTGCTCTCAGACTGGGGTTTGCTGCCCCTGCCCCCATCCTAGTAGACAGCGAATAGTTCCATAACATCCCCCATTCTCCTGACCTTACTTTCCCCCGTCTGTACAATGGGCTAGCCCCCATCAAGCGTCTGGGGACCCTCAGCTTGACCTGTCTGTATACTGGGGTTCAAGACAGCCCTCCATGAACTTCTGCTTGGCCTGCGCCTCCCACACAGTCCAAGCCCTGGTCTCCCCATTTGGGCAAGGGGTTTGCGCCTGGCCCCCACGCACTTCTGCTGGGTCCCCTCCGGCCTCGAGTTTCCCCCAGGGGTGACCGGGTCTGCAGTGGCCCCCTGCCCACAGGCGCCTGGCCCTCCCTGGGGGAGGGCTGGTGTCTTCCTGGGAATTACTCCAGGCCTCAGTCCCCCGGGCTGGGCAGTGGGCCCACGGTCCCCAGTGCGTCCTGACCTCCGGCCTCTCTTGCCTGCAGGATGAGTTCCACCCGTTCATCGAGGCGCTGCTGCCGCACGTCCGCGCCTTCGCCTACACCTGGTTCAACCTGCAGGCGCGGAAGCGCAAGTACTTCAAGAAGCACGAGAAGCGCATGTCCAAGGACGAGGAGCGCGCGGTGAAGGACGAGCTGCTGGGCGAGAAGGCCGAGGTGAAGCAGAAGTGGGCGTCCCGGCTGCTGGCCAAGCTGCGCAAGGACATCCGGCCCGAGTGCCGCGAGGACTTCGTGCTGGCCATCACCGGCAAGAAGGCGCCGGGCTGCGTGCTCTCCAACCCCGACCAGAAGGGCAAGATGCGCCGTATCGACTGCCTGCGCCAGGCCGACAAGGTGTGGCGGCTGGACCTGGTCATGGTCATCCTCTTCAAGGGCATCCCACTGGAGAGCACCGACGGCGAGCGCCTGGTCAAGGCGGCGCAGTGCGGCCACCCGGTGCTCTGCGTGCAGCCGCACCACATCGGCGTGGCGGTCAAGGAGCTTGACCTCTACCTGGCCTACTTCGTGCGCGAGCGAGGTGAGGCGGGCGCCCACGGTCTGGGGGGCGCGGGGGGGGGGGGGGCCGGGGCGGGCGGGGGCGGGGGGGGGGGGGGGGGGGGGCATAGCCGCCCCCTCACGTGCGTCCGGCTGCGGAGGTGGTTCAGGCTGGACTGGGAGGGGAGGCAGGTGCGGTGGGCGGGGCCGAGGGGGCCTGTTGGCCTGCGTTAGGGTAGGACCCGCACCTGTGCTGTGAAGGTCTGAGGGCAAGAGATACGGTTCGAGGAGAGTCTGAGTGGGGAGGCGGTCTTCAGCCCCCAGGGGGTTGAAGGTAAGAGGCGGGCTCTTGAGATCTCAGGAGGTAAGATCCTGGCCCAGGAGGTCCGAGGGGCAACTTAAGGACTTTTTGGAAATAGAGGTGAGGACACGCCGGTGACCACTGGGAGAGACCATCTGAGAGAGGGCTGGCCTTGGGCGCTGTGAATGCTAGTGGATCAACTCTCAGACCTTCAGCGGAGGTCTGGCGGGTCCCAGCTTCGTGCAGAGGGGGAAGATGGGTGCTGTGTGACTTTGGCTGGGTTACCACCCTCTCTAGTCCCCTGTGTTCCCGGCTCTGGCCATTCTAGCTGGGTGTGTGCTGGATCCAGGGTCAGCGCCCCACCTGGAGGCCAGCAGCACCTGTGAGGGTGGGGAAACCCAGGGCAGCTTCCTGGAGGAAGTGGTGCGGCAGAGCTGAGCTCTGCGGGATAGCTGGACAGTGCTGAGTGTGGGGTGTCCCAGAGGGTTGGCAGCCTGACCAAGACATAGAGGCCAGAGGCCTCTGGGTGTCAGCAGGGCTCGTGGCCCAGGGCCCGGGCCTGGCTGGGAGGGCGGCGGGATCTGTTGCCCCTGCTGCTTCCTGGCTGTGTGGCCACCTTGGGCCTCAGTCTCCCCCATCTATCAAATGGAGATTATCAGAGTTCCCAGCTGGATGAGGCCCCAGGGAAGTCGCGGGATCATGCATGTGGCATGTGAACGCTGGCCTGCCACGTGGCAGGTGTCAGCTGGGAATGTCTTCATGTGGATGGAGTCAGGTGTGCTCACAGAACCTGATGGTCACGTGGCCCGTGCCCACCAGCCCGCAACCCCCCCACCGGGGCTGAGTCTGGTACCCATGTGGGTACACACCCCGGGGGGCAGCCTGAGCGTGTCAGGTGGGTGCCCCCAGCTTGTAAGCCCAGCCCTGGCAGATCCCACGGAGCACACTATCAGAGACAGACTGAAGGAAGGAAGGCTGGGGGCAGGGGGTGGGGGGTGGGGTCTTGTGGGGACAGCGGGAGTCTTGCGCCCTGTGGGCTGGGTGACTTGGGACACATCACTGTTCTGTTTCCTCTGTGAGTGGGGGTAACAGCAGCGCTTCTCCCAGCGATGGGATAAGGATTTGATGAGGTTGTAGGACTCCCGTCTCCAGGGCGTGGGGGCGGTTTTCCCAGTCTCGACCTTGATTCCTTGACCTTGACCTTTTCTGCCCCCTCCCCCGCCCCCACCCATCAGCCGCAGACCCACTGAGGGCTTGGAGCGGAGCTGCCTTAGGGCCCGCGGAGGCAGAGGGGTGGACAAAGTGACTGGCTGTCCGGGGCAGGGGGCAGGGGTGGCCTCGGTGGCAGACGCATTGCCATGCCGGTCCAGGCCTCTCCCACCACTTCCATCCTCTAAGCCTGTCCCCGCCCCCACCTCCTCCGTGCTGAGCTGATAAAATTTTGAAGCGAGTTTTCTGCCGGTGTCAGCACAATCTCCAGGCGCCTCCCCTCCCCCAGCCACTCCCCTCCCCCCTCGGCTCAGCAGGCAGGCCCGGCCTCCAGGCTTCCCCAGACACCTCCTAGTCCAGCTGCCCCCCGGCTGCCATGCCTTTGCCGGCCAGCGGCCAGTGTGATCGGCCTTCTGGCTCGTGGGCTGGGGAAGGTCAAAGCTGTACCCACCCCTGCTTCCCGCAGGCTCCATCATCCCCATGGGAACCCCTGCTCAAGCTGGCCCCAGCCGCCCGAGCCGCAGCTGGCTGGGACTGAGGCGAGGGCTGATTCCAAGCCTGGCTCGGCGGCTGGCCAGCTGGGTGACCCGACACAAGTCGCCTAGCCTCTCTGTGCCTTCTCTCCTTGTCTTTATTTTTTTTATTTTTATTTTTTTTTAAGATTTTTATTTATTTATTTGACACAGAGAGAGCACAAGTAGGCAGAGAGGCAGGCAGAGAGAGAGGAAGGGAAGCAGGCTCCCCGCTGAGCAGAGAGCCCGATGCGATGCGGGGCTTGATCCCAGGACCCCGGGATCATGACCTGAGCCGAAGGCAGAGGCTTAACCCACTGAGCCACCCAGGCGCCCCCTCTCCTTGTCTTTAAAATGGGACGCTCAGATTAGCTGCCTGGTTGGGTCCTCGTGGTAAGTGCTCGACAGGCAGCCCCTGGGGGGGCAGGGGGAAATGCCAGGCTTGGGGCAAGGGCTCTGCGGGCCCCTGTTCTTACCCCTGTCCTCCCCCTGCACCAGCCCTGCTACCATCCTCATCACGGTTACCATTTGCTGATTCCACCCTCTGCCTCAGTGCTCCCCATACCAGGCAGGCCTCTCACATATAGAAAACTCCTATGTATGCTTGAGAGCCCTGACTCCTAACTCCACTTTCTCCCCCACCCCCGGATATTTTTTCTGAGGGCTTCGGCGTTCTTTCCCATTCTCTCCGCAGCCTGGCGGGAATCACTGTTGTACTCGTGTCGCAGGTGAGGAAACAGGGCCAGCAAAGGGCCCTACCTGCCTGAGGTCCCAGAGCCCAGGGGGGACAGAGGGGGTGTGTGAGTGCCAGCAGTACTGTTGAGGCCGGCTCCAGCCCTCCACCCTGGATGGTGGTGGAAGAGGAGGGAGGTAAATCGTGGGGTACAATGTTGGCAGCCTTGTTGGCACCCCGGGGCTGGGGCTGCGTTCTAGGCTCCCACAGGCCGGGGTCGCCCTCCAGGACCTCCAGCCTCATTCTGGGTCCCAGTGAAGTCTCTGTTCTTGGTCGGGCAGGTGTCAGTCTGACAGCAGAGAGAGCCAGCTGCTGGCAGCCCTCCTCCTTCTGTCTGGACGGTTCGTGGCCTGACCCCCTTCAAGGAGCCCCTTTGGGAGGGCAGGGATTCAATGAGGAGGCTGAGGATGGAGCCCTGGGGGATGGGGCACTCCTCTCCGGGGCTCAGTTTTATTTGGGGGATGGAGGGCTGGGAATGAGCTCTGAGAAGGCCCTTTCTCTGCTGGGGCTGCCAGGTGGGTCAGAGCCTGGGGCACCTCCTAGGGCTAAATTGGGCAACCCCAGGTGTCCATTAGGCACCCTAGGGCCCTGATTCCAGGGGCTGGACTCAGTGTGCCCTGGGGGCAGCCTAGGGGCCAGCTGAGGGGACCACGATGAGAGGGTGATGTGAGCTCTACTTTGGGGCACAAGGGGGCTACCTGCTACATGGGTGCAGAGGGGTGTGCAACCGAGTGGGGGACCCGGAAACTGACAATTTGCAGTTCAGTGACCAAGAACAAGGGCAGGAAAACAAAGCAGGGGCAGAGTGTGGAGAGGGGCAGGGAGGGGGGAAGCCCCAGACTGAGGAGTGAGGAGAGAGGGAGGCCCCAAGGAGGTGGCTCTTAGGATGAGGCCTGAAGGATTCAAGGGAGCCACGGAGGGATTTGCGTGAGTGTGGCAGGCACGAGGCTAGGGGGGAGGGGGTGCGCGGCGCACAGCCAGTGCAAAGGCCCAGAGGCCAGCATGGCCTGGAGCCTGAGGCACAGAGCAGGAAGGCCTCCAGGGACTGTGGGGGGCAGTGAGGCCTGCCGCGTGGCTTCCTGGTGAGGGTGGTAGAGAGGCCAGCAGCGGGTGAGCCCGGCACTTCTCCACCTGCCTTGTGTTTGGGAGGGAGCCTGGAGGAACCGGGGCCCAGAGAGGGAAGCTGCCTGCCCAGCCCTGAAGCCCAGCCAGGCCTCCCCACCCCCCTCTGGCGGCCTGAGAAACCTGAGGCGCGGGCGGGCGCAGTGCCAGGCTCAGGCGGGGGAGGGGCTGCCAGGCCCGCCCTCTCCAGCAGCTGCCAGCCCGCCCCGAGCCGCCAGCCCAGATGGTGCCCATCTGGTGACGCGGCCGCGGGCTGGCCTCCCGTTCCCGCCTTGTGCGGTGCCAACCGCCCAGAATGGTGCTGTGGGCAGGGGCCGGCTTGGGAAGCTTGTGGCTGCAGGAGGGGCTTCCGGGGTGCCCCAGGGAGGGTCCCTAAGTCCTCCTGGATGGAAGCGGGAAGCAGGCCATCGCGACAGAGGTATTGGTAACAGCCAACGCGTGCCACGTGTGCCAAGCACTGAGCACCCGGTTCTGAGCTCATCACATGTTATAGCTCGTTCCATCCTCTCCACCGGCCTGCCAGCGAGGGACTGTCAGCTCCTCCCATGTGACGGGTGGGGAGGCGGGCCCAGAGACCCTCCGACGGGGGCCCAAGTTCACACAGCCCCTGCGAGGTTGAGCAGAATTCAAACACACAGAATCCTGTTGGGTGATACCCACACCCTCCCTGTCCTGCCGCCCACGAGAACAGGGGGTGCTGGACACACGGGGAATGAATGAATAAGGAGCAGTGAGCCACGTCCCAGAGCCCACAGGCGGCCAAGCCTGGGGGCCAAGGTAACCATCAAGCGCAGCCCGGGCTCAGATGGCAGGAGAAGGGGCCTCAGTCCGCAGCAAGGGGGCCTGGGTCAGCCGCAGGCCCTGCCCTGCCCTCTCTGGTCTGAAGGCAGGAAGGTGGGACCTTGTGGGGTACGGAGAGGAGCAAGCCGGCCCCCGACCGAGGCCCCCCCTGCCTCCTCCACCCCCCTTAATCTTCATCCCAGCACTGGGTCCTTGGGAGACGGAGGGTGGGAGGGCCCCCATTTATGTGGGTGACGGACACAGTTTATGCCCGTGCTTGCTGCAGGCCCTGTGGAATGGATTCTTGTCTCAAGCCTCGGTTTCCCGTCTGTAAATGAGGAGTGTGAGAACCGCGTCTACCACACTGAGGACCCGAGTCAGTGACC